ATCAATTAAACTCAATGTTTTTAATTTATTGTACACTTTTGTTGGCTAAATAACACTATAATATGTAACACTACAAAACGATGTTTGTATTTATCCGACATAAATAATGTTTGACTAATATATCCGACAGTTTTTATACTTATTTAGCTTATGATAGAAATATTTTCCAAAAGTGTACAATAGTGTACAGTCTGAAATTAGTGTACAGAAGTATCAAATAGTGTAGTGTACACTTCAAAAGTGTACGGTTGGTCACACTAACCGTAGGGTTAGTAAAAAGTTTTATAAAATTTAAAATTTAATTTGCTATTTAAATTATAAAATATCACAACCAATACTTATCATGCCCAGGTGTGTCCAAATTCAAATACGGTGTTTGAATAAATCTACGATAATACATGGACAATTATACTCATAAATGCGTAAATAATATATTACAAAATTTTTAACATTTAAAAATTAGTAATAAAGTATTTGCCTTAATTCAATACACGTGTTGTTAGCGCTCATATAAACCAGCGGACATCTTGCCTAAAACTATCATTTCAAACCTAGTTGGTATTTAAACATATCAACAAGGCTGCAATAGTAAATAAACCTGGTGGTAAGTACTCATTTTTTCATTCAATCATGATTAATCATAACAAATATTTTGTCATAGATTTACAAAAATTATGACCAACAACAACAACATGGCCAACAAGTTGATGATGGTGGCGAGGATGATACCCTTGACAAGTTGGAGCAGGTGGATGGGGTGAAGCATTAGTTGCTACATATCCTGGATATGGATGGTTTAGATAAATAGATTCAGCATGATGCAAACAGGATTGACCGCCGTTTTGATTAATTCAATTACCTTTATATATTATATTAAATATGTATTTGCTAGACAACTAGTATAATTTATTATGTAACACAATATATATTTTGTATTTATTAAATACAGTTGTAGTTATGAATTAATATTAATAAAATATTTGTTTGATTTAATCATTACCTTATTTACATTTAAATCTAGATTACATGAAAATCTGTTATATATTTTTAATATTGTATTGAAATGTATTATAAATTAGTTGAAAAATCTAAATAAATATCTATTTATTCATTATTTATCATATTATTTCACAATTTTATAGTTTTTTCTGTTGTTTTGAATGAATAGTAAAATACAATTTAAGTGTATTTGTTTATAAAAATAGTAATTTAAGAGACAATTATTATTGTTTATAATTAAAAAGTTGTTTACATTTCTAACATTTCTTTCGTAAGCGTATTTACTATTAATAAAATATTCTTAATTAACTATAAAATTTATAAATTATTAAATAATGATGGTGAAAGTAATCTAGTAACATTGATGATGTTGGTGGCAGTGATAATGGTTATGATTATGAGCGCTATGCTAATTAATGATCATGAAGTTATTAGTCCTAGTTGTCGAAACAAACCTTGCTTACTTCTTTGAATCACAGGTCCGCCATTTTTAATCAGAATAAATTTTAAATTTGCTAGAATAGTGATCAATAGTTGCCAATAAATATAGTCTATACATAATAGGAAATAATCTATTTCTTCATAATAAATAATTAATTAAAAATTTTTATTACTAAAATATGACAACTTTCCGATTGACCTTATATAATCATATAATATAGACATCTATAAGAATCTGTAATATAATATACAGTTAAAAATTAAAAGTATTACAAAAATTATAATAATATAATTTAAGTATAATCTCTAAAATATTTAATAAAATAAAATGTAAATATATTTTAGTATTTATAAGTGAAAATTCAAATGAGACGGGAAGTGAAAACAGTTACAACCATAATCAAATTTTATTACAATTTAAATTATGCTTATTTATAGGGTGAACACTATTAGACATGAAAAGTAAAAATATTTACAATGATAAAAAACAACACAACAAAAATGAAAACTAAAACAAAATTGGTAATTTAGATGTATATTTTTACCTTAATAAATATGTAATCTAAACATAACTATTCACATACATTTTATATTCGAGAAACCAAAATAAAAACATTAATATAAATTTATTTTCATCATAAAAACCATGCATTTATATATCGAAAAGATTATAACTATTATATAAACTTTTTATTTTGTTTTACATTTCTATTATAATAAAAGAGGTTACAGTAAATTGTGTATTAAATAATGCATTACTATTTGTGGGCACAGGTATGTGGGTATGGGGGTAGGGATGAAACATAGAGTTATTTAGATTAATATACAGAATATCTAAATGTATTATTTAAGGGATAAGACAAAATTGACGAACGCCTTTCTTATGCTACTCTCGGAGTTTACGCAAATTGATATTCTGTTTTGTACTCTTCATAAGCAGTAAAATCTATTGAATGGCTATTGAGTGTTAACATTAAGCGCCTTACGAGTTGACGGCTAACGACTCTTTATTTGTGGCCAACATGTCGTAGTAGGGATACCCTCTCGCACTAAACGTAATCATGATAACACATGTGTCACACATTATAACGACTGGACGTTGCGTTATAAATAGTGATTATGTCGTGTGTTAAGTGTCATCCAATTCAAAAGCATACTAGTGTTCCAGTTAATGGTTTGAATTTTGCACAATCGCTCGCTAGAGTTATGCGATATTTGCACCGATGAATGCCTAAACACAGGCTAATTGAGTTGTAGTGATTTGTCAACTGTTAACAATCAGTAGCGTCAACTCACACCTTCGGATGAAAGTAAGCACTATTACTGGAAGTTGAAAGTAAACACTATTTATAACCCAACGTTCAATCGTTATAACGTGTCCCACATGTGTGCTGTTGATTGCATTAAGGTGTAGAGCATATCAGTCGTGCGACCATTTCCTCCAACTATTAAATTACTACACGAACTCTATATATAAGTGTAGGACTCATCCCTACTCTTGACCACTCGTTAAACCTCGCACTCAATCACTGAATATTGCTACTAGTGCAATCTTGTAAACTTTTCCGTCAATGTTTACGGTTGTTGGTCGGGACTGACACTCCCTCCGTCATTGGTGGTCACGACTGACGGCCATTCATTCCCCGTCATTGGAGGTCACGACTGACGGCCATTCATTCCCCGTCATTGGAGGTCACGACTGACGGCCATTCATTCCCCGTCATTTGAGTAGATTAGAAGATTAAAACTAATTTTCAGAGCGTTGGTGTCGATCGCCTTTCTTATACTACTCTCTGAGTCGACGCAAATTGCTATTATGTTTTGCTGTTGACGATTGAAAGCTCTTCACTTCTTGCCAACGGCTTCTACGACGGATACCTCTCACCCTATAAGCAATAAATTCAACACATGTATCGCACATTATAACGATTAAACAATGAGTTATAAATAATGTTTACTTAACGCACATCACGTAATTGGTTGCCGCGTCGGCCCGTAAATTCGTTCGTCGTTGTGTCTGCTCTTCGTTGAGATATGTATGCTTCGAGTCATTCATCGGCGACGAGGATGTGGTGGTCGGCGGCAAACAAATGTTGGACATATCGTTGGTGATGTCGATTAGTATGTCAAAAATGACATCATTTAGTGATCACATGTATTGGCAACAAGCACCAAAATTAGAAATCTCTTATATGATTAACACAAATACTTGAACCTAATTATTAAACACATGGTTTGATATGAAATGTTATGAATAAATGTTCAAAGTGTTAATCATATCAAGAGGTTTACCTTGCAAAAGTTAATACATTTACTATTAGTTAACTATGATTCAAAACTGTTATTATTTATTATTGATTGTGTGACCAACCGGTGGTTAGACTGATCGTGGGTTTTGAACACTGCAATTGTACCATTCGTGTCTTCCCGAAAGCGGCCAGACATGTGTGTGTGTGTGTGAGAGAGAGAGAGAGAGAGAGAGAGAGAGAGAGAGAGAACACAACGACGAACGAATTTACGGGCCGACGCGGCAACCAATTACGTGATGTGCGTTAAGTAAACATTATTTATAACTCATTGTTTAATCGTTATAATGTGCGATACATGTGTGTGTGTGTGTGAGAGAGAGAGAGAGAGAGAGAGAGTGAGAGAGTGTTTGTGTGTGTGAGAGAGAGAAAGTTATTGATCACAATTCAAATCGCAATTCAATCAAACGTTTTGACACACAAAACGCTAATACAATGTGTTTGCAAATTGCAATCACTTGTGGTCGCAACTAAAAGCAACAATTGTGATAATCAAATCTATTAAATGATGAAAAATTTTGTCGCAACTATTTTGTCCCGAACACACTATAATTTAGTAGCAGTGATTTGTCCACTGAGACCGATCACTAGTGCCGAGTCATACCTTCAGATTAAAATAAACACTATTTATAACTCAATATGGATTGACGGCTGACGGCTCTTAACGAGCTCCGCATTGTAGTTCACTTCAACTGAAACTTATTGAATGCGCGTCTAAAACGAATCTTTCGTTATGCTGTTCACGGGGTCGACGCTTGTCCTCAAGTCTCTTGAGTCCCACTTTATAACTCAATGTTCAGTCGTTATTATAAGCGACACATGTGTTGTATCGATTGAGTGCTATATTGCTGTGAATAACCTGAAAGTGAATCTATTAGTGATAATTGTGAGATAACTAATCCAATGATCGCTTCGTCCGGAGTTGGATCACTTTTAAGGTGAGAATTATTGGCTAAATATGGGTTATTTGCTGTTGATTGCATTGGAATATAAAAATCAAACGTTGTTCATAACTTATGAATCATAAGATACAGTTTGCAAACATTTTGAGTAACTTTACTATGCATTGCTTTAGTAATAAACAAAATACGAAAATGTATGAAGTAAAATTTTAAAAAAACATATTAATAATTTCGCGATTAATTAATTAATTTTTACAATCATTATAACTTAATGAAATTTTAATATCAAAATAAATTACCATAAGAAAATATTAAAGTAAAATATAAATTATTTAGTAATTATTTTCAAAACATATGACCATTTAATAGGTCCGTCGGGACTGATGTGCGGGAATGTTATGATAGTTGTGGTGTTGGAGCCGACCTTAAAGGTGAGATCAGTGTTATCTCCCAATAGTTGTATTGATTGGACGGTCTTGTGGTCGAGTGAACCCAATTCCAGGTCATTATTCTTCGGCCAAAACAATACAATACAATAAACAGTTTTCTCTTTCTTTGTATACCTATTTATATAGAAAACAATTATTTAATTATATGTTTTATGATTTCATAAAATTCATACCAAACACCAGCAGTTAAGGTATCGTTTTGATGAGTCCAGGGTTTGCTCGCATATATGGCCTCACCATTAATGGACAGCCAGTGCCCCAAATCCCGTAACCGGTCCTCAAATACCGGTTTAATTACCCCGTCATGAGAGGGACCGACGTTTATCAATAGATTACCTCCACAACTAGTTGAAAAAGTAAATTGATTAAGGTTTAAAAAAACAATTGAATACCTAATAGTTTGCGCTAATTGTGTCAATAAGTCATGTGTTGTCAAATAGTCCTCAAGTCTGGCGTCCCGTCGATAACCCCACGATTTCCTGTCTAATGTCAACGCGTTTTCCCATTTATTATTACTGAATTACACCGGGATTATAATTACCAGCGTGGTTATAAAAATCACCATGCTTGCCATCAGTCTCCGTTCCTATTCAAACATTATTTATATTACAAATATCATAAATACGATATAAATTAGTGTTATTTGTATTACCCCATCGATCGTTGACAACCACCGTATCCTTAACGGGACTATTAAAGCAAATAAATCCCATTTATAACAAACATGTTCAATAATGTCATAATAATTGTTATACCTATGGTTGTAAAGCCAGGCCAAGAAGTCGGTTGCCTCCCAGTAATCTGATTTGCCATAACCGACTCCATCGGACCAAATCACGTCCGGTTTATACGTATTCACCAATTCCTCCAATTCTGGCCGAGTTTTGATCTATCAATTCATTTATAAATATTGAATAATAAACATTCATAAATAGCTTGAATAAATTACTGAATAACATGGTAAACTATTGTTTGCTTACTTTAACAAATTGCTTTGTGGTGTAATTGTTTTGAGTATCGTTTAGGTAATAGGGATTAAACCATTCAAAGAGTGAGTGATAAACACCGAAATGAAGTCCAGACTCGCGGACAGCGGCCGCCAAATCACCTAAAGGTTTGTATATTTATTATTAATTATATTTAATAGTTGCCTAAATAGTGTCTGAAACATACCGACCAAAATCCCGATTGGGTCCGACATCCATAGCGTTCCAGTTATAGGACACCTTTGATGGCCAGAGAGTAAACCCTTCGTGATGTTTAGCGGTCAACACCACATATTTAGCACCCGATGCTCTTCATACACAATGTATGTTTAATTTAACATTTAATAAAAATAGTATTATAATTAAACAACCAAAAATACAACTGACTTGAATACATCGGCCCAATGTTTGGGATCGTAAAACTCAGCGGTAAACTGTGCGGCAAAGTCTCCGTAAGTAAAACCCGGTCTATAGTTCTTAGCCATAAACTCCACCTCTTCTTTCCACTTATCGTTTTTCCACCGACACCTGTATTCAAACAAATTTACATAGAGTTAGTATAATTAAACATGTCACAACAGTTTTATATAAAACACATTTATCTATACATTTAAATTAAATATTCATGATTTAGATATAAATAACCAATTTCAAAGCTTCTATTTGGCAAATGTAATATATAGTAATGTATAGTAAATCAAAACAATATGCTGTATATTTATAAATTATAATACTTACCAAAACCATTCAGTCCCATATGATGGCACCGAGAATACACCCCAGTGTATAAATATGCCTATTTTGCTGTCATCGTACCACTGGGGTAAAGCTCTCTTGTCCAACGACTCCCAATCGGGTGTGAATTTACCCACCGTTTCATTGGAGGCCAACGAAATCGATGCTAACAATAGACAAATTAATTGTGAAAATAAAATCATTTTTTCCAAAAGTTTATGAATTACTGATTTAGATGTTTATTAAGTTTTTGTTTTTATAGCAATAATTTCAAATCTTATTGTTAACTTTCAAACACTTTGCGTTCAGATTAATATTGAAATCAAAGAATCAATAAAATACTCAACCTTTTGTCCCCACATTTGATTTCAAAGTCTAATTATACGATTGTTTTGTGACATAAATCAGATATTAATTTAATATATTAGTTAATAACTATATAATTATTTATTAATAATATGATTAGACTTTAAATTAATGTTTAAGCTTTTGTTGTTTTATTTATAATCATTTATTGATATATTTCTAATATTACCATAGTTATACATCCAAAATAAAATAAATGAAAAGTTACTAATTATTCTAGTAATGACAAATTAATACTATTTTAGTTATTCATTGCTAAATTATTTTTAATTGTTAACTTATCAACAAACATAAAATTATATTAAAATTTTAACTCAAACAAAGTTTTAGTAAAAGTTATTTTGTAGTTATTTTTAGAACATAAACCCATTTGATAGGACTGTCGGGACTGATGTACGGAAAAGTAATGTGTGTTGAGGTCCCGGAGCCGGCCTTAAAGGTGAGGTCAGTGTTATCTCCCAATAGTTGTATTGATTGGACGGTCTTGTGGTCGAGTGAACCCAATTCCAGGTCATTATTCTTCGGCCAAAACAATACAATAGAATAAACAGTTTTCTCTTTCTTTGTATACCTAATAATATTAAAATTAAAATTGATATAATAATTATTGAATTATGATTTAATGTAATAAAAGTGAATACCAAACACCAGCAGTTTTAGTATCGTTTGCGTGAGTCCAGGGTTTGCTCTCATATATGGCCTCACCATTGATGGACAGCCAGTGCCCCAAATCCCGTAACCGGTCCTCAAATACTGGTTTAATTACCCCGTCATGAGAGGGACCGATATTTATCAATAGATTACCCCCACAACTGGTTTATATGCAAAACGTTGAAAAATAATTTTAAATATTAGTTAAATAATTTTTATCGACCAATTATTAAACCTTATTGTTTTGGCTAAAGTTGTCAACAAATCATGTATTGATAAATAGTCTTCAGATTTGGCTTCCCGTCGATAACCCCTCGACTTTTTATCTAAAGTCATAGCATTTTCCCACTTATGCTTCTGTATAACACCCGGATTGTATCGGTCTTGAAAGTTAAAAAAGTCACCATGCTTGCCATGCGCACCTGGACCTAGTTGGATCATTTGAAACAACTTAAATTTTGATTTATTAAAGAGATTGTAATGTTTTTTTACCCCATCGATCGTTGACCACAACTTTGTCTTTAACGGGACTATTGAGGGAATAGTTGTAAATGTATTACATTTGATAATACGATGGCTTACCTATCGTTATAAAGCCAGGCCAGGAATTGTTGACTTTGCCAGTACTCGGGTTCACCCCAATCGCCGTCCGACCAAATGATGTCCGGTTTGTATGCGTTCACCAACTCCTCCAACTCGGGCCGAGTCTTGATCTGTCAATACATACATGTACTACAAATGCTAACTTATACCATTTAAGTATTCATGCAGGTATATGTGCAATTCATTTATTTAATAAAATTGATAATAATTTTGTAAAATAATAATTACTGTGACAAAAGTATTGGTTGTAAAATTATTTTCCTTGTCTTTTAAATATAAGGGATTAAACCATTCAAAGAGTGAGTGATAAACACCAAAATAAAGTCCAGCTGAACGGACAGCGGTCGCCAAATCACCTAACATTTTGTAAATACAGTAGTACAATATGTGTTATTCATAAATAAAACTATATTTTCTAGATATTAATAACAGTATAAGTAATGTCTAAACATACCGACCAAATCGCGATTGGGTCCGACATCCATAGCGTTCCAGTTATAGGACACCTTTGATGGCCAGAGAGTAAACCCCTCGTGATGTTTGGCGGTCAGCACCACATACTTAGCACCCGATGCTCTGTGTATTGATTATACAGTTTACATTGTATTATACAGTGGAGTACAAATGGATATATTTACTGACTTAAAAACTTCAGCCCAGTGTTTGGGATCGTAAAGCTCTGCGGTAAACTGGGGCAAAGTCTGCGTAAGTAAAGCCCGGTCTATAGTTCTTCGCCATAAAGTCTACAAAATCTTTTTGTTTTTCTAGAATCCATCGCTTCCTATAATATAAACACTATTTTATAACAAGTTATTTAATTAATGTAAAATTATTATGTATTACCAAAACCATTCAGTCCCATACGAGGGCACAGAGAAAATGCCCCAGTGCAAAAATATGCCTATTTTACTCTCATCGTACCATAATGGTAAAGGTCTTTTGTCCAACGACTCCCAATCGGGTGTGAATTTACCGACCGTTTCATTGGAGGCCAACGAAACCGATGCTAACAATAAACAATTTAGTGTTGAAAATAATTTCATTTTCATTATATTTTATTGATATTAAAGACAATTACAGTTCAATGAATACTTAAAAATATTTAGAGCAAAAAATAAAACCCTTGTTATAAAACAATTAATTTAGAGGATCATTGATTTGTTAGATAATAGCATGTGTTTTGGTACCAAAGTCTAGGATATAATTTAATTAATTGACTTATGACACAAATGTATTATCAAATTGATTATTGTAAGTATGAAACATATTATTGTTAACAGATTGTTATCATCATGTTTATTTATACACTTAACTTTAAAAGTTTTAATTATTTAATTTATAACAATAATTTTAGAAATCCACTACAAATTATTAAATTGTATAAACTTTATTTAAAATTCATTAATTTTAAACTGTTTTGTAGTAATCTTTAAAACATACGCCCATTTGATAGGACTGTCGGGACTGATGTACGGAAATGTGATATGTGTTGAGGTCCCGGAGCCGGCCTTAAACGTGAGGTTAGTGTTATCTCCCAATAGTTGTATGGATTGGACGGTCTTGTGGTCGAGTGAACCCAACTCCAGGTCATTATTCTTTGGCCAAAACAATATAATAGAGTAAATAGTTTTCTCTTTCGTTGTATACCTATTAATATTAAATTCAAATTTAATACAATAATTATTAAATTATGATTTAATGTAATAAAAATTCATACCAAACACCAGGAGTTAAGGTATCATTTGCATGAGTCCAGGGTTTGCTCTCATATACGGCCTCACCATTGATGGATAGCCAATGTCCCAAATCTCTTAACCGGTCCTCAAATACCGGTTTAATTACCCCGTCATGAGAGGGACCGACGTTTACCAAGAGGTTTCCACCGCAACTATTTATAAAAAGTAAAAAATTATATATTAAGTATAAAATCCATATAAACTCAATGATGAATTGTAAATTTATATTAAACATGTAAACAAAAACCTTATGGTCTGCGCTAAAGTAGTCAATAAATCATTTATTGATAAATAGTCTGAAGTTTTGGCGTCCCGTCGATAACCCCACGAATACTTGTCTAAAGTCATGGCATTTTCCCACTTATGCTTTTGTATAACACCCGGGTTATATTTATCTTGAAAATTGAAAAAGTCGCCATGCTTTCCAGCAGTATCAGTACCTATCATAATCATCAAAAACAATGTAAATCTCAATTTGTTATTTAGTGTAATATAATTATATGTAATGATTGATTGTAATGATTTTACCCCATCGATCGTTGACCACAACTTTGTCCTTAATGGGACTATTACGAGGTAATTGTGATTTAAGTTATGTTGATTACATTTACCATGTTAGGTTACCTATCATTATAAAGCCAGGCCATGAACTTTTGACTTTCCCAATACTCCGGAGGTCCGGCGTCTCCATCGGACCAAATGAGGTCCGGTTTATATGTGTTCACCAACTCCTCCAACTCGGGCCGGGCTTTGGTCTATCAAAGTATACGTATGTTATAAATGATAAGTATACCATGGTAGGTGTATCATGTAAGTAGATATATACAGTACATGTACATAAGATTTAATGTTATTTTAAAAACGATAATTACTGTAACAAAAGTATTAGTCTTAAAATTATTTTCCTTATCCTTTAGATAAAAGGGATTAAACCATTCAAAGAGTGAGTGATAAACACCGAAATGGAGTCCAGACTCGCGTACAGCGGTCGCCAAATCACCTAAAGGTTTGTATGTATTTATTATTAATATTTAATAGTGGTTTAAATAGTGTCTGAAACATACCGACCAAATCCCGTTTGGGTCCGACATCCATAGCATTCCAGTTATAGGACACCTTTGATGGCCAGAGAGTAAACCCCTCGTGATGTTTGGTCGTCAGCACCACATACTTAGCACCCGATGCTCTGTGTGTAACATACAGATTACATGATTGTATGATTGATGCAATTAAAGCAAAACTTATAACACAAAACAAAGTTATAAAATATATATGTACTAACTTGAATACATCGGCCCAATGTTTGGGATCGTAAAACTCTGCGGTAAACTGTGAGGCAAAGTCTCCGTAAGTAAAGCCCGGTCTGTAGTTCTTTGCCATAAAGTCTACGAAATTTTTATCCTTCTCTTCAATCCATCGTTGCCTATAATAGTCAGTAATTTATATCAAGTTATTTACCTGTAATATTAATAAAGAACTTATGGTTTGTTTGCAAACTTACCAAAACCATTCTGTACCAAATGATGGCACCGAGAATACACCCCAGTGTATAAATATGCCAATTTTACTCTCATCGTACCATGATGGTAGAGGTCTTTTGTCTAATGACTCCCAATCGGGTGTGAATTTACCCACCGTTTCATTGGAGGCCAACGAAACCGATGCTAACAATAAGCAATTTAATGCTGAAAATAATATCATTTTTTATATTTAAAATAATTACAATTTGTTATTCAACCAATACTTATGAGTGAGTTTTTATAGCAAAAAAACAAAACTCTTGTAATTCATATCACAATTAACTTAAGGTAATCATTGTTTGTTAGATAATAGCATGTGTTTCGGTACAAAAGTCTAAGAAATACTTCAACTCAAATAAATTATCAATTATTTAGCCAAAGAATGAAACATTTAATTATGATAATATTTGAACATATTTTAATCGTCGTGTTTATTTGCACACTTGATTTTTTCAAACAATAGGTTAAATGGACTCAAATCTAGGTTACAAAACTACAATTGCTATGCAATTCAATAAACTGATTAAAAAAAAGTAAAAAAAAGTTTAAAAAAAAGTCTACGACACCGGGTATTCCCAGGTGGTCTCCCTCCCAAGTACTAACCCGGCTCGACGCTGCTTAACTTCGGTGATCGAACNTCCCAAGTACTAACCCGGCTCGACGCTGCTTAACTTCGGTGATCGAACGAGAACCGGTGCTTTCAGCGTGATATGGCCGTAGACATCAACCCATACACCTGTACTGCTATGCATTGCTATGTTATAACTGTACGCATGCGTACAATAGCTATAATATCAATGCATAGACCCGGTGTCGTAAACTTTTTTGAAACTTTTTTTAAAACTTTTTTTTGCTTTACGTATACATTTAGTTTGTATGTAGAGTTTTTATTAAATTTTTACTTAATTTTTAAATAGTTTTAAATAATAAAACTAGCTCACCCTTTATGTTACCATGGCTATACTGGCCTGGTCACTGGTGAATAATTTTATTTGTTTGATTGACTAAATATTTCTTTCATGGAAGTTTTAATATTTTAATGAGTTTAATAAATACAGTTTTATTGCAATTACAACTTTAGTATAATTTACAAAAATAATTTTATAAATCGCTTATCCATTAACTCCAAAACAATATGTTATGAAAACTTTATTTTCAAATTTATTTTCAATTATTTTGTGGTAATTTTCAAAACATACGCCCATTTGATAAGACTGTCGGGACTGATGTGCGGGAATGTGATGTGCGTTGAGGTCCCGGAGCCGGCTTTAAACACCAGTTCTTTCTTATCTCCCAATAATAGTATTGATTGGACGGTCTTGTGGTCGAGTGAACCCAATTCCAGGTCATTGTTTTTGGGAAACGATAACACTATAGAATAAACTGTTTTCTCTTTCTTTGTGTACCTATTTATTAATAAATATAAATTAACAATTATCATAATCTTGCTCACAATCATGTATTAATAACATCACATACCAAACACCAGGAGTTAATGTATCGTTTTGATGAGTCCAGGGTTTGCTCTCATATACGGCCTCACCATTGATGGACAGCCAGTGTCCCAAATCCCGTAACCGGTCCTCAAATACTGGTTTGATTACCCCGTCATGAGAGGGACCGACGTTTACCAAAAGGTTTCCACCGCAACTATTTATAAACACATAATTAAATGTTAAATATCATGTGCAAAATTTCCTTTTAAATAAGTATTAAATAAAAACCTAATAGTTTGCGCTAAAGTAGTCAACAAATCATGTATTGACAAATAGTCTGTGGACTTGGCGTCCCGTCGGTAACCCCACGAATGCTTGTCTATAGTCATAGCATTTTCCCACTTATGCTTTTGTATAACACCCGGATTGTATCGGTCGTGATAGTTGAAGAAATCACCATGCTTGCCACCAGTGCCCGTACCTATTATTATTGCCATACAATTCAAGCACAATTAATTAATTAATTATTCATTTGTTGTTATAATATAACAATTTACCCCATCGATCATTAACCACAACACTGTCTTTAACGGGACTATTAAATGGGAGATTAATAGTGTTTTTAACACTAGTTCAATAAAATTCAATATAAATTATTACCTCTCGTTGTAAAGCCAGGCCAAAAACTTCTGGGTTTCCCAGTATTCCGGTTTCGCACCGCCGCTGCCGTCCGACCAAATCACGTCCGGTTTGTATGCATTCACCAACTCCTCCAACTCGGGCCGTACTTTGGTCTAAGAAAGTATACGTGTGTTATAAAAGTGGGATATTTTTAAAAACTAAAGTTAATTTTCAAATTTATAAATACCGTAACAAAAGTATTTGTCGTAAAATTGTTGTCCTTGTCTTTCAAGTAAAACGGATTAAACCATTCATAGAGTGAGTGATAGACACCAAAACGCAATCCAGACTCGCGGACAGCGGTCGCCAAATCACCTAAAAGTTTGTATATATTATAATATGTGTTATTTGAAAATAAAATAGTATAACTAATGTCTGAAACATACCGACCAAATCCCGATTGGGTCCGACATCCATAGCGTTCCAGTTATAGGACACCTTTGATGGCCAGAGAGTGAACCCCTCGTGATGTTTGGTCGTCAGCACCACATACTTAGCACCCGATGCTCTGTATGTTTATTATACAGGTTTGTTGTAATGCATATGATTTATATTCAATACGTTGTAACGTTTACTAACTTGAATACATCGGCCCAATGTTTGGGATCGTAAAACTCTGCGGTAAACTGTGAGGCAAAGTCTCCGTAAGTAAAGCCCGGTCTGTAGTTCTTCCCCATAAAGTCTATAAAATCTTTTTTCTTGTCGGCAACCCATCGATGCCTATTAGAAATAATGATCATGTGTTTATTTGCTATATTTTAATACTTATTTTAATTATTAATTACATGTTTAACTTAAAAAAATTTTCATTACTACTAATGCTAAAAGTACAAACTTACCAAAACCATTCCGTACCATAACTAGGCACCGAGAAAACGCCCCAGTGCAAAAATATGCCTATTTTGCTGTCATCGTACCACTGGGGTAGAGGTCTTTTGTCCAACGACTCCCAATCGGGTGTGAATTTACCCACCGTTTCATTGGAGGCCAACGAAACCGATGCTAACAATAGACAAATTAGTTGTGAAAATAAAATCATTTTAAAAATATATTTAAGACAAATGCAATTTGCCTTTCAATTGATTAATACCTAAGAATAAGTGTTTTGTTTTTATAGCAAAAAAAAAACAAAACTCTTGTAATTAATATCGCAATTATTTTAGGGAATCATTGATTTTTATGATAAATATTAATAGTCTTTTAATACTGAATCAAAGTCTAATAATTATATCAATTGATTGTTTTGTGACACAAATATAATTATTAAAGTGTATTTTTATCACCGAGTTGTTTTTAATTGTTTGAGACAACTCGCCTAGTAATTTGTACTTTAATCTAGGTCTCAAAGGTTGTTGTGTACAAACTAAGGTTGGTAAATTACAAGGATTTTTTTGAGGCCATGTAATTTACATTGTAAAATACAAAAATGCACGTAATATACTTGTCATTTTACTTACTATGGGGAAAAAATTAACGTATTTTATTCCCTCAAAATTGAACATTTTTATTGCAATTATGACATTAATTATACATTTATAACATTTTAATCACTAATTATTTCACATTCGACAATTGAATCTGGTCCATTAATTGATTTTTAACAAAATTGCAGCAATTTTTATCATCGGTTTTTGTAAAATAGTTCCAAATAATTGATTGTGGCTATTATTTACTCATTTTAATCAATGATTATTTGTACAATAATAAACAAATAACAAGTGTGCAAACATTTTACCCAAGTTTTGTAAAGATATTTAAAAAATTTTACCAATTAATTTTTTTAATGATGTATTTTACAAAATGAAAAATCTATGCATGTAAAATACATGTAAAATACTATGTAAATTACATACGTAAAATACATGGTTTGTCATATTGCCAACCCTATTCATTTGACACCAACTTCTCAATTACTTTCGCAAACACTTCCCAATATTTCATCCCATTTTTCAAATAATTTATAATACTTTACAATCAATTCATTCATTTTCTTAAAAGACAGTTATATTTACCATATATTTAATAAACTAATAATCCAACTAATGATTGACAACTTATTTCCAACAATTTTCCTGTCGTTTTTAACCCATTTCTCAAAAATATTTATTACTGTTAAATAATGACTCAATTTATGTGATATTTATATTTGGATATTAAAAGTTTTGATAACAAATCGCACGCAAAGACATAACAAATCATTAATTAAATTAAACAAATAAATGCTTTTACTTTTGAAGTTCTATAACTGCGAGAATAGTTTTGAAAAGTTTTGATTCAAAATCCAAACATTTTTATATTACAGACATTAATGCAAAAAAAAAAGTTTTTATTATTATTGCTGTAGAATAAAGTTATTTAAAACAAAATTTTTAAAAATTTGTCTCAATTTACAGGAAGACTGAGTTCTGAGTTTTACAAGTAATACCATATTTGTTATAAATTATAACTTATAAAATATTTTTCTAATTATAAACACGGCTAATATAAGCAAAAGAAAGTGATGTAAAACTTATCATTTATTTAATTTATTTAATTTGTTATAACAGTGATTATGATATAAATGTCATTAAACCTAAAAAGCATTATTTTGGCTTTCGTTAATATATTTGTATAAATGACATAAAATACATTAAATGGTTGAGTATATTATTTTAATAATTAATCATTACTTTTAAGACCCCATCGCTGCGGCTCTTCATAAGTTTGAATGCATTTATTGCTTCTTCAATGGGAAACCTATGAGAAACCAATGGCTTTAGATCTACTTTTCCGCTCGATATCAATTGTAACGCTAACTGAAAGCTATTATGAAACAAATGAAACATTAAAACGAATCGTTTTGCACATCAAATTCCTACTCGTCTTTATAGCGACAAATTCCGATCAAATCTATTTCATGAATCGCCGCATAAGCCATAGGAAGCTCTATTGTATTGTCACCCAAACCAATGATCCCAACTTTTCCACCGTCTTTGGTCGCATATATAGCCATACATGTGGACGACGCGACTCCCGTGCACTCAAGTGTAACGTCTGGAGCGTCTCCCATATCGTTGACAATTATTTTAGCCATTTCTGTGTCATTGAATAGTTTTGAGTCAATTAGGTATGTCTGGTCTGCGCCCAACTTTTTAGCCAATTCTAATCGACTGTTGCAGACATCCGTGATATACACTTTGTTGGCACCGAAAGCTTTGGCGCAAAGCAAACTCATAAGACCTATAGTACCCGCTCCGCAGACCAGCACATTATGGCCGACACTTAATTGAATCCTTCGCACGGCGTGTATAACTACAGACAATGGCTCACACATTGCCCCCTCTTCTGATGATATGTGGTTCGCAAGTCTTTTAGTCAAATATTTCGTCAATTAAAGTATATTTTAAAATCTTTTTATTTACTAACTTATAACAGAATCGCGACGGATGTGTGTAATATTGTGTAAGACATCCATCCATTGGCGGTAAACCACGAGTTCTTAGATTAGAAAATAGACACAAATTGTAACGACCGGCGCGACAAATGTCACACTCCAGGCACGGGATGGCCGGCTCTACGGCTACTCTGTCGCCGGGCTTTACATTCTGAACACTTTCTCCAACTGCAAGAACAGTAGCGCTCGATTCGTGACCCAATATACACGGTTTGGTTAGTATAAAATCAGACACATGTCCCTCTGTCCACAGGTGCAGATCAGAGCCACAAATACCACAACTTTCACATAAATAATACTAAAATATAACAACTTCTGATATAAACCAAATAGTTTCATGTCTTACCAAATAGTTTTCAGCAGACATTCTGTTTAAAAATAAAGCAATTATTAACGATAACAGCAAATCAGTAGTACTTACCGAAAGGCTTTAATTCTTTGGGTAAAGGAGTTTGTTGTAATCGTAAATCATGTTTTCCATGCAATACGAGAGATAAATTACTGTTAAATTCATTTATTTCTGTAATTTCCATAAATATTTTCTATTTTAATGTTAATTGACTGACAAATTGACTGAATTTGAAATTAATTAATACTATTAGCAAATATTATAGATTGAACTGTTTTTATTGCTAAAATACAGTACTATTTCCTATTACCTCAGTACTACCAAAAAAATGACCACCAAAAAAATGGGAAAAATGCTATTACCATACAAAACCATACAATACAGCGATGTACGTGTAGTCAAGCTTTAACGCAGTCAATGCTATTTCCCATTTTGAAAGTTGTAATTTTTTTGGTAGTACTGAGGTTATACTGTCGTTACGTTTTGTCTCAAAAGAACCATTAGACTTCCCATATGTTTATCTTTTTTATCTTTTATCTGAAATGATAATAATTATGATATATTATATCAAAATGTTTATTAAGCTTTGGTCTCATAATTCTTAACTGTCGGAAATATTTTGATTAAAATCTATATTTAAATGACGATAATAAAATAAACATTCATATTCCTGTTTATGTGGTCTTAATAATTTTATTTCATAATTAGTAAATAATTCAATATCTAGTACAATAAATAATTTAATATTGTATTAGATTTAATGTGTCTATAATTCACGGAACAACAATCGAGATGTTATCCTAAACTTCTACCATGGAAGTAATTAACAATTGATAGTTGTATGTGTAAAATATGTTTCAAAATTATTGTGCATAACAGTAATGTTCAACATATCATTTGGAGGTGTAGTAGGAAAGGGTGTTAGACACTGGGCGGTAGATCAGTAAGTGCTACCCCAGGGGTCACAACCAGATTCACTATGTGTGGAGTCTCTCCGGTCGTATTCAACTCTCATTTAAACAGAAGGCTAATGTTATTAACTTTTAAATAAAGTTATTGTAGTTAATAAAAGTGAGACTTTAAATAAAGTTATTGTAGTTAATAAAAGTGAGACTTTTAAATAGAAAACTCCCTTTTATATGGATTTTTGCACAAAGGGCTTCATATGAAATGATGTTATGTTTGATTTACGGTTAATTTGAATAATATTTTAAATACAAAATATGAAAACATTAAAGGCTTTTCTGTTATACAGAAGAAATTCTGACATTTATTTTCCATCGGATATTACAAAGAAAATAGTAATAAGAATTGCCGATTTGGCACAAATACTGGACACACCATATATGCATTCGCTATAACAGTGACCCAAGTTTTGTTCATGTATTACATAACACCCCGCGCTTGGGATACTCTCCAGCGGTCATGAGTTCATTCCCGATATAATCGGGGTGTTTATCGTCAAGTTGTTTCGATTGTGTCTAGTATTTACAGCATTAAGTTTTGAACGAAACATGAGATTTCAAACTACTAAACGAAATATGTTCCTTGTAAATTAATTTGTAAATTATATTTATTTAAATGAATACATTTTATAATTTGGTCCATTTATTTCTAATTGTTTAGATTAAAGTAAAACATTTTCATTTTTTGTTGCGCTTGTCTATTTCATGGATTTTATAAGGATACTAATTTTTAAACTAAAAAGTTAAGAGTTAAAGTTTAAAAAGTTTAAAAGTTAAAAAAAAAACTTTTAAGTTATGTTCAAATTGATTTGTTTCTCAAAAATGTTCATAAAATAATTAAATTTTTATATTGTTTATTATAGCGTGCATTTTAAATTATTAAACAATAGTTTACTTATAATATGAGTTTAGCTTCAATTGTGGCCTAACTTTACAACCGATTTCTTAAACTTAAACCAAACATAGAGACAAACTTATGGATAAATTCAATCACTTTCTAATCGAGAGGAAAAGCCTGGAATTGGCCGCCAGTAAAAACATCATAATTAGCGTACATATCGGTCAGGGAATGTTCGCCGACGTGTATTTGGCCCGATATAAGGGCCTCAATGTAGCCCTCAAAGTGACGAATATCAAGAAATGCAATCCACACACACTTAAGTCAGAGATAAAAGTGACCAAATTATTGAAATCAATTGAACACAAAAATATCGTCAATTTTATCGACGTTTTCGCCGATGTGTCGCCAACACAGGTCTGGTTTGTGATGATCTTCTTCGACAGTCACGACATGAAGGAAATACTGAAAGAGCGCCGCAAACCGTTCGCCGAAAGTGAGGCCAAACACTATTTGCGGCAAATGGTTGAGGGCTTACAGTGTCTGCACTCGCATCGCATCGTTCACCGGGACATTAAACCCGCGAATATACTGATCGGCGCCACTGACAGAGAGATCCTTAAGTTGTGTGACTTTGGTTTCGCTAAACACGTGCCCATCAAAAATGATAGCGAAAAGAGCGATACAGCCATTTGTTTATCACATAAAGGTATGCAAAATACACATTGATTTGTCATTACTTAAGTACAAATCAATTTAAACCATGTTTGTTATAACCACAGGTTCGCAGATATATATGGCACCGGAGCTGATGTCAGACAAGCAGTTGTTTTACGACGCGTTCACAACTGATGTCTATAGTATGGGAATAGTGTTATATGAGATGCTGTTCTATGATCTGCCGTTTTTGACCTCCGATTTGGGTGTCGACCACAACGACAGAAGAGATTTGATGATCGCTCTGAAGGAGAGTCTTGTACTGAAATATCCGGACGCAATCGATGTCTCCGAAAGTGCCAAAGAACTCATCGAACAAATGATTTGCAAGGAATCCGATAAACGGCTTAATGTAAAACAGGTTATAAAATCACAATGGCTTCAGACCTCATAAATTCAATTATACAGTAAATTTATACACAGTATGTGTGGCTATATTTAACATCAGTTTTGCCCTTATATTCAATCCATAAAATAAAAGTTTTTGTTTAATTGAAAGAATAGAACATTTTATTGAAATAAATACATGTTTTTTGTTTTACAATAAAAGTGAATAAAACTATATTTTCGGTCATTAATTGCCAATTATATACTTATCGGCTCTGAGAAGAAAATACAGACAATTGAGTTGTTTATGAATGAGACAATTGCAGACATAGGACTTGAATTGATCCTTAAAGTTGACCACAACTTCGCGACAATTGCACGACAAGTGAAGAGCCTGTTTGGGGAAACTCTTGGTCGCAAACAGATCCGCAATCTTCTGTCGCATCCAGTTTTGGGGCTCAATATAGACGATACCACACGTCGTGCCACCGATTGTCTCATTTCTAATCACAAACTCTTGGCCGCAAACAGATCCGCAATCTTCTGTCGCATCCAGTTTTGGGGCTCAATATAGACGATACCACACGTCGTGCCACCGATTGTCTCATTTCTAATCACATTTATTTCGTAACACAAAGTGGACCCACATTTGGCGCACAGAAAGGGCTTTCCGGGGATCAGATTGGGTGACATGCGTTCGACGGCCGCCAGTCTCGGGAAATAGCGATCACTGATTGAACTGATGTTTGTGTTGAGAAACAGTGTTTGGAGTAAATGTAGTCTCACTTTGCGATTGTTGGCAGAGATCGTGAAATTAAGTTCTTCGTAGAGAATCAGTTGCCGAACGAAACCGGGATTCGGGGCTATCTTTCGGCGAATGGCTCTGACCTGAGCCATGGTTTCGGCGAATGGTTTCCGGTATTTACTCATGAGATACGCGATGACAACGGATGGGCTGCGGGAGACACCGGCCGAACAGTGAACCAACACATTCTGGTTCTTCGCCTGACATTCGCTGATTATTTGATTGGTTTCGGGAAATATAGTCAACACATCTTCGTTCTCGCCGTCGGCCACTCGGAACTGATAGTACGTAATGCCGGAGCCCTTTGTCTCATTGAAAGTGAAGTCAAGCACTGATACAATCACTTTTATGGCCATTGATCCCAACTCTTCAGTATTGGTGGCGAACTTCAGGTCTCCTAAAAACAAGTTGTCCTCAATTTTGTGATATTTGCGGAAGAATTCCGTGAAATCCATAGAAGAAGTCGAAGACATCTCACAAATGATGGGTTAATAACTGTATAGTAATTACGAATTCAATTAACGGTTAAATGTTTTCAAATTAACCAAAACTATTGATCACTCAATTGATTGTTGCAATTGGTTTGCAATCACTATTGAGATCGCGTTTTGTGCACAAATTGTTGGCACAAATCATTCATAAGTTTTTCAAACTTTGCAAACTTTTTACAGCTGTAGAGTAGACCCGCCTATTGGTGCTAATTGTGACAATACTGTCCGCCCTTTTCATCTCTATTCCTAAGCTTAGCTAAAGGCACAAATCATTCATAAGTTTTTCAAACTTTGCAAACTTTTTACAGCTGTAGAGTAGACCCGCCTATTGGTGCTAATTGTGACAATACTGTCCGCCCTTTTCATCTCTATTCCTAAGCTTAGCTAAGTATTGATATGTGGAATAAGGGCTTAACTGTTGACAGCATAGAAAAGTATGGAAGAGTGGCGACACCTAAGGCTTGAGAGGGGAGTGAAGTGTTGGGTCTATTGAGCAGTGATTTCGCACTTTTGCAGTCATTTCACAACTCATTGTTTGTTATTTGTCACTCATTTGATCCAACCGTTGACACGAAGAAGTGGATGAGAGGAGGAATGGTTGTGAATCGTATGGAAACGGATTCGTTGGACACGAAAGGCGAGGGTCTGAAGCAGTACTACATCACGAAGATTGAAGAGTTGCAGCACATCGTCACCGACAAGAATCAGAATCTTCGCCGACTTCAGGCCCAGAGGAATGAGTTGAACGCCAAAGGTTTGTGTCGATCGGGTGTCGGCGTTGAAGTGTTTATATATTAACGATATATGTGTTGTGACCCAACAGTACGTATGCTTCGGGAAGAGTTGCAATTACTTCAAGAACAGGGCTCTTATGTGGGAGAAGTGGTCAAACCGATGGACAAGAAGAAGGTGTTGGTGAAAGTGCATCCCGAGGGCAAGTTTGTGGTCGACATCGACAAGAATATCGACATTAAGGACGTGACGCCCAACAGTCGGGTCGCCCTCCGCAACGATTCGTACGCTTTGCACAAAATCCTTCCCAATAAAGTGGATCCGTTGGTGAGTCTCATGATGGTTGAGAAGGTGCCCGACAGCACCTACGAGATGGTCGGCGGACTCGACAAACAGATCAAAGAGATCAAAGAAGTGATTGAATTGCCGGTTAAACACCCGGAGCTGTTCGAGGCTCTCGGCATCGCTCAGCCCAAAGGTTTGGCCTTTTAATGATTTGTATGGTCGGCGGACTCGACAAACAGATCAAAGAGATCAAAGAAGTGATTGAATTGCCGGTTAAACACCCGGAGCTGTTCGAGGCTCTCGGCATCGCTCAGCCCAAAGGTTTGGCCTTTTAATGATTTGTTGTGTTTTGTAAATATACTAATAATATCTGGTATGCGATGACAGGTGTGCTGTTGTACGGCCCGCCCGGAACCGGTAAGACACTGTTGGCCCGAGCGGTGGCCCATCACACGGACTGCACGTTCATACGCGTGAGTGGCTCTGAATTGGTACAGAAGTTCATCGGCGAGGGCTCGCGAATGGTTCGCGAGTTGTTTGTGATGGCCAGAGAACACGCGCCGTCCATCATATTTATGGACGAAATCGATTCGATCGGCTCTTCGCGTATCGAATCGGGTTCTGGCGGTGACTCCGAAGTGCAGCGAACAATGTTGGAGCTGTTGAACCAATTGGACGGCTTCGAGGCCACGAAGAACATCAAAGTGATTATGGCTACCAATCGGATCGATCGCGTATCGAATCGGGTTCTGGCGGTGACTCCGAAGTGCAGCGAACAATGTTGGAGCTGTTGAACCAATTGGACGGCTTCGAGGCCACGAAGAACATCAAAGTGATTATGGCTACCAATCGGATCGATATCCTGGACCCGGCGCTCCTAAGGCCCGGCCGTATCGACCGTAAGATAGAGTTCCCGCCGCCGAACGAAGAGGCGAGACTCGATATCCTGAAGATTCATTCGCGTAAAATGAATTTAACTCGTGGTATAAATTTGCGTAAAATCGCGGAAATGATGCCGGGGGCGAGTGGCGCCGAAGTGAAGGGCGTCTGCACTGAGGCCGGGATGTATGCCCTCCGCGAGCGACGCGTTCACGTGACTCAAGAGGACTTCGAGATGGCTGTGGCGAAGGTTATGCAGAAAGAGGCCGAGAAGAATATGTCCATCAAAAAGCTCTGGAAATAATTGTTGTAGTTTTTGGTTACTTTTTGTGTGTTATATTCTCGCCGTTTGTTTTCAAGTAAATATTTCGAGTAATAAATGTCTAGTTATTACTAAATCTCATTGATTTCTTATAAATAAAAATTGAACATTAATTCCTATAATATTTGTATTCGCTTTTTTTGGTGGCAATTATTTCCGTATTAATCAATGAAATAGTAGTTGTGTTGGCGTTTGATATCTGATACAAATTTATGCGAAATGAGAGATGAATCGGTGTTTTATGGCATTAAATAATTTGCATTTTACAGGAAAATATTTAAATTAAATGTACTTTTAATGTAATTCTAGTGATTTATGTGCAGTAAAGTGAACGCATATGTGATATGTTTCAATACGATAACAGGCAAACAAAATACAATTATATGAGCCAATCGTTCAAATGGTTTAAAAGTTTAAGCTTAACAGTAAAATCATGTTATGTTAAAGTTGTTAAACACAGTCCTCCTTCTCAACGCATTTAAATCATATGCTTTGACAGTATGTGCGGAGCAATACTGATATTTGAAAATGTGTTGGCGTTGGCCATCACTCATAGACAGGCGTCTTAATACCCGATACTAATTGCTAAACACTGTATTCAATGACTCTGTTTGGGAACAATTTTGTATA